CAGACCGAACTTCCCGACCTCAAACGTTGTGGGCGGGACTAAGTTCGGAATGGCACCCAGGCTACATTCAATTTGCTTGAGCTCAAAAAAAAAAAGGAAAAGAAACGTATAATGAGCGTTATCCGTTTCTTCCATTTTTGATTTTGAGCAAAAAAATCAGATAACGGCTCATTATCCGTTTTTCCTTTTTGTTGTGGAAACAGTGAGAAAACGAGTTTATTTTTGCATTTTTAATTTTCGGTTTTAATTTGAAAACTGATAGAAGGAATGATACATGGATTATCTTCACTGCTATCAGTCTTAACCTGCTCTCTGTTTGCAGAACTCCGGCTCCAGAAAGCTCATTTAGAACCAGGAAGCATCTGGACTCACATGAGCCGGTCTCCTTCCATTCAGGTGGTTGGATGAGTTGCAGACAGCATCAGACCTGAGAGCAGCGATCAGGCACTGAGCCGGACGGCGCCGCCAACAGGGGAGGCAGGTCAGACCTGGATCTGATTTTATTGCTAATAATGGATGAAGGACAGTTCATCAACATGGATTCGATTCCTCTGAACCATTTTATTTCTATTTTAAGAACTTTTTGTAAACTAATACTTAGAAAATGATAATTTGTTAGGAGTTCTGTGTTGAATTGTTTTAATTTTCTAAGTTAAAAAGGACTCCATGTGGGCTGAATATATTTAGTCCCTCTTTCTCCAGGCTACCATCATGGCGGACGTGGACCCAGACACCTTGCTGGAGTGGCTGCAGATGGGTCAGGGTGATGAGCGGGACATGCAGCTCATAGCTCTGGAACAGCTGTGCATGCTGCTGCTTATGTCGGACAATGTGGACCGCTGCTTTGAGACGTAAGACGTGGTTGTTTGGTCCGGGCCTCGAATGTGAACGTCTGTGTGTGAGACACCCTCACTGAGAGCGTCCTCTCTCTCTGTCCCTCAGATGTCCTCCTCGGACCTTCCTGCCAGCGCTCTGTAAGATCTTCCTGGACGAGAGCGCGCCCGATAATGTGCTGGAGGTAACGGCCCGAGCCATCACGTACTACCTGGATGTGTCGGCAGAGTGTACCCGAAGGATTGTGGGGGTGGACGGAGCCATCAAGGCGCTGTGCAACCGCCTGGTGGTGGTTGAGCTCAACAACAGGACGAGCAGAGACCTGGCGGAGCAGTGTGTGAAGGTAGGCAAGGTGTCAAAGATTAGCCCGTTTGTCTTTCTGGTCGACTTTTCTACCATCTGAATTTGAAGATGGGATTTGACCTGAGAAGGAGCGTAACTCCTGATTGGCTGTTGAGAGCTAAAGTCAGGCTAATCAAGCGTTATGTCTGACAGCTTGTTGACACGGTTTCTGTGGGTCATTGAAAATAATTAAGTCATTAAATTATTTTTTTAAATCAGTCCTGAATTTATTAAATGTGATTATGTGGTAATTAAAATTCTTTATTTAAAAAAAAGTTTCAAAAACAGATATATCGCAGTATATTTGCGCAGAGCTGCTTCCGATTGATCCTAAAGCTGTATGTTCAGAAAAGAAGCTTGAGGCGGAGAAAAAGCTGCAGAATGGGAGGAAAAATTCTCATTTCAAGAAGAGTGGCTGGAAATCCAGGAATGGGGGACATGGCTGCAGGCTGACGACGCTAAAGATTAGGGCTGTAAATCACATCCATCATGGCGATTCGATTCAGTACCGATTTCCTGACCCAACGATTCGATTATTTTCGATACTCAAGAATACACTTCGATTCGATTAATCGGTTAAAATTTTTTTTCATTATGATTATTTTTTTACACTAAACAAAGTTACAAGTTTGAAATAAATCAATGAAAGCTGTAATATCGTTGTGCATTTTTTTTTTAGAAACGACAGCAAATAACAGAAGTAGAAAAATTGCATCAAAAAATTCTGCACAGAATCAGTGCAATGAGTGCAATGCGATACCTCGGCTCCAGAGTGTCGACGTCCCCGCCCCCTTGAGAGACGCTCCGCTGCTCCTCTCCCAAATTGTAGCTGACCGCAGACAGCGCCGCAGACAGGAGGCCGGCTGGTTTTGTTTTTATGACTGAAATTGCGGAAAACAACTCGTGAAGTTTGACCAGTTAGCAGAGCGAGGTGCGCGAGAACGCTGGGAGCCTTTTTCCACCTGGATCTCTGCTCTTTTTGGCCCTCATGTCCCTCCGTCGTCGGACTAAACTCGCCCCCACTTCCTCGCCGCCTCGGCCGTATCTAGACCCATCGCCATGGAAACGGATGGGTCCACATCCATTTCCATACATCCCAGTTAGAACGCAGTCCAGGCCAATCTGGTTTATCAGTTTATGACGGGCTAAATTTGATATTTTTAGATGCATCCATAATTGTGATGATATAACAGATTAACATGTGAATAAGGAGGTTTGTGGACTAGGATTAATTTATTTAGTTAACATTTTAGCTAAAGTAAGATCAATTTGAATTTGATAACTTGGGTGATAATTGAGAGGAACAGGGTGACACAAAACAAACGAGATCAAATTAAAGAAGAGTTCTTACGAAATTAAACCAGGTGAAACTAAAGCTTTTCTGTCCAGGAGTTCATCTTTGAGTTCCTAATATCTTATTTTATTTATTTATTTTTTTTTTTAAACAAAACATTTTACGTAAAACAATGAGGGGAAAATGGGCTCCCTCTGACCTCCACTCTGGCAGATGGCGCTGTGGAGCCCTTTGCTGTGCAGCGCAGCCCCGTGTCTTTAGATGAGGCGGTCACAGAGGACTCACCCAAACATCATGGAGGCCAAAATAACTAAATGATCAGTATCTTCTGATGAACATATACAGAACTTTTTATCTATACATTTAATTTGATAGTTGGGGGAAATATTGCGATACACAAATTCCTGATTTTGCGATACATTGCAGTATCGTTATAATATCATATTTTCTGACCAAAGTATCGTCACACGTATCACAACACGCATGCCAATACTCACCCCTAATGCGCCGACGCGTCGGTGTTGCTGGACCCACCACTACTGGACGGTTGACTGGGACCGTTTGGTCGCTTTAAGGACCAGTTGGGTCCAAAAGGTAGAAGCTGGGTTCGGGGTTCATTTTCTGAAACGGCGTGGCTGTGTGCAGGTGCTGGAGTTGATCTGCACCAGGGAGTCCGGCGCCGTCTTCGAGGCCGGAGGTCTGAACTGCGTGCTGAGCTTCATCAGAGACAGCGGACACCTCGTCCACAAGGACACGCTTCACTCCGCCATGGCTGTCGTTTCCCGCCTCTGCAGCAAGATGGAGCCTCAAGACTCGTCCCTGGAGACGTGTGTGGAGTCGTTATCCAGTCTCCTCAAACATGAGGACCACCAGGTGACCAAACACCGGCTCTGCTGGAAAAGGTTTTTCTCTCACCTGTGTCTAACAGGACGTCTGTTCCTCAGGTGTCAGATGGAGCTCTGCGCTGCTTTGCCTCGTTGGCCGATCGGTTCACCCGTAGAGGAGTTGACCCCGCCCCCCTGGCCAAGCACGGCCTGACGGAGGAGCTTCTGTCCCGCATGGCGGCTGCTGGCGGCAGCGTGTCGGGCTCTTCCTCGTCCTGTAAACCAGGCCGGCCTTCCACGGGCGCCACCCCTTCTGCTGCCGACTCCAAACTAAGTAACCAGGTGTCGACCATCGTCAGCCTGCTGTCCACGCTGTGTAGAGGCTCGCCGCTGGTCACACATGTAAGTGTTGAAAAGGAGGCGGGGTTTGTGTGTCAGCCTGGATGTTAACCTTCATCCTGTGGTCAGGACCTGCTGCGGTCAGCGCTGCCGGACTCCATGGAGTCCGCCCTGGGTGGAGATGAGAGATGCGTGCTGGATACCATGCGGCTGGTGGACCTGCTGCTGGTGCTGCTGTTCGAGGGACGGAAGGCGTTGCCGAAGTCCACCGCCGGCGCAGCGGGCCGAATCCCCGGACTGCGCCGTCTGGACAGCTCTGGGGAGCGGTCCCACCGACAGCTCATCGACTGTATTCGCAGCAAGGACACGGATGCTCTGATCGACGCCATCGATACAGGAGGTGAGCAGGCGGTCCCTCAGGCTGCCAATATGCAGCGCACCGTGCCCGGCCCTTCTGACGGCTGCTGCGTTCAGGGACTTCTGCAGCTTTCATTTTTTAAGGAAATTGTTTGAGTCAGAGTTCCTCTGCGTCCCCTCTGACCCAAACACCTTCCATGTTTTCTGTGGTTCTGTTGCGCCTCCCTAACGGCCAGGTTACAGCTTAGAATGATGCTTAGGTTGTGGGTCTTCCTGTTCTGCATTAAACCTCCTTAAAAACTTCTCACAGACTTTCTTTAACAAACAGAACAGTTGGATTAGAAAAGAGAAGAGAGCTTCCATCAGCAGAAGGAACCAAGAGTCTAGCTTTCAGAACAGGAAGTTTATCCCAAGCCTTTCAAAGTAAAAGCAAAGTACAATAAAAGCCAGTATATCAGAAATATTTTACGTTCTGTGTTCATTTCCTGGGTCTTCATTATAGAAATATTTTTTATCTATGCATGTGTTTAATGATTTATATATAAAATCTCTTTCCAGTTTAACTGGATAAAGTAAAAAATGTAAGAACATGAAAATGAACTCAGTTCTATTATAAAGTCGTCTCTAATGTGTGTTTGCCAGTATTATATTCTTTATTCTTTTAGTATAGTTTGTGCTGTTGGAACACATAGATTTACCAGTGGAGGCTGGGATTTTATATTAACTAAGCTTTGGGTTCTCAGTGAATTACTGAATACCTCCATAATAAACCTCAATAGACAATAACTGCAGTTTAATTTTCCACGACACCTGAGAAAACGGTAGAAATGAAGCAAACTTTCATATTTCTATTTAATTTTCTTGGAAGTGTTTTTATTTTGGGAGCAGCAGATTTCTCAACATGATGGATGTTTCTCCTGCTGGAGCTTCATCTAAAGAACAAAGTCACGTCTGGAAGAGACGCATCATGTTGGAATAAGTGAAAGAAAATCACCCAAAAATGATAAAACATGATTTTCTTGGTCTTTAAGTGGCGAGGAGGCAGATCTAAATCTGTAAGCACATACATTCTATGTGCTAGTCCTGAATACTCTAAACAAAACATCCAGAATAAACTTGCGCTGTTCTGTCAGATGAGCATACCCGGTCATTGCTATTTTTCTTCATATATCCGGGCAAGGTGCCGTTTCTTATTAATATATTAAAATATTTTTTGAATGTTGCAAAGATAATGAGGTCTTGTCCTGGATTCCAACAACACTATTGGCTTAAAATGTTGATTTTTCAAAGTATTTCACTGGGTGCCCTATAAAGGGTTAAAGACGGAGGGGTTATCTGTTTTTGATCTGAGCAGCATCCGTCCTGAACGCAGCAGTCTGGAACCATCCGGTTCCTCTGACTTCTGCTGATGAATGGAAAACTATTGTCCCCTGATGGAAATGTTTGTTAAATTTTTCCACTGTTTTTTCCCTCAAATTTCATCTCTTTCAGCCTTTGAAGTAAACTTCATGGACGATGTTGGACAGACGCTGCTCAACTGGGCTTCAGCTTTCGGCACACAGGAAATGGTAAAGAAATGGAAGCAGAGGGTTCCTGGAGCAGAACCTGATGAATCGTTTGGATGACTGGGTGGTGGTTATGGGGAAGTTCTTCATCAGGGACATTTTCCTTCATGATGCTGATTCAGTCTGAAACAGGCGCGCTGGAAGCTGTTTCAAGCGAGGGGGGCTGATGGCTGGGTTGGAAAA